CCACTCACCCCCTTCCTCCCTCTCTAAACTCAATAAATTTTTAAAAAGTAGAAAATTAATATCCAATTTTTTTTCAGTACACTTTTATACTCTAATCATTTACAAGGGCTCGCTGTTTATCACTCAGTTTAATATAAAGGGATATTTACTTGAAGAGAGGATCTAATTTTAATTAACCATTAAATATAATGGATTTTATTGCACTAATGTCTCACACTGTGGCAACCACAAAGCAATGGGAACTTGTCCATCTGTGACCTCGGTTGAGGAAATATATTTTATTTCAGTGTGATTTCTGCTAAATTATATGTCATATAATGAGATCTCTGGAATCTCATTATAATTTAAATCTTTAAATAATAATATAACTTTTAAAAAATTTTTTCCATCATTTCTCCATCCCAACACCTTCCAAACCCAGGGAAAATTATATTTTCATTAATTTTCTTTTTTTACAGAAAACACCCAAGCAAAAAAACAAATTAAAAGAGAAACACGGCATTTAAAAAATTCTCCCATAGTTTTCATAAAGAAAAATGCTGTTATTTGAATTACTATGCTGGCGTGTTACAATTAGTAAACAATTACACTGCATATGACTAGTTTATGTGTCTTGTTACCCCATTAATATTTACATCTATTAATACTTAAAAGATACCTGTCATAACTAGAAGGATTTAAAATAGTGGAAAGAAGTAGAGCCTATAAAAATAGCTTGGTAATTCTCAAAACTTGTCATTGGGTTGAGTAAAAGATGTTAGTTAAGTAAGTTAAATTTTTTACATTGAGAACTTTAATAAGTGGACTGAACTCAAGTTGAACACAGCCCTTCCGCAGATTTTCATTCACATGGCTGATTTTTCCCTTGTAACTATGAATGTATAACATAACCCACTCATTTATCAAATAAATCCCCTTGGAAATGTTAGGTTTTTTATATACAGGCATGTACCATTCTATATTGCGCTTCACAGATACTGTGCTCTTAATAAACTGAAGGTTTGTGGCAACCTTATGTCAAACAAGTCCATCAGCGCCAATTCTTCCAACAGCATTTGCTCACTTCATGCCTCTGTGCAATGTTTTGATAATTCTCCCCATATTTCAAACTTTTTCATTACTATGATAATGATTTGTGATCAGTGATCTTAAATGTTACTATTGTAATTTTGGGGGGAGTGCTCATATAAGATGAAAAACTTAATAAATGTTGTGTATATTCCAACTGTTCCATCAACCAGCTGTTACCCCAACTCCATCCCCCTCCTCAAGCCTCCCTATTCCCTGAGACACAACAAATTAAAATTAGGCTACTTTATAACCCTATAATAGCCTCTAACTAATCAAGTGACAATTTGCATGTCTCACTTTAAATCAAAAGCTAGAAATGATAAAGCTTGGTGAGGAAGGCATGTCAAAAGCCAAGGGAGGCCAAAAGATAGGCCAAGAGCTAGGCCTCTTGCACCAGTGAGCCAAGCTGTGAATGCAAAGGGAAAGTTCCTGAAGGAAATGAAAAGTGCTACTCCATTTTTTAATGGGATTGTTTGTCTTCCTGGAGGGGAGTTGTGTGAGTTCCTTATATATTTTAGAGATCAAACCCTTGTCCGAGGTATCATTGGCAAATATATTTTCCCAAATGGTTGGTTCCCTTTTCATTTTGCTGATATTTTCTTAGGCCGTGCAGAAGCTTCTTATTTTGAGGCAGCCCCATTTGTTTATTCTTTCCTTTATGTCCCTTGACCAGACACTTCTCCAAGGAGCACATACACAGGGCCCAGAGATATATGAAAGGATGCTCAGCATCACTAGCCATCAGAGAAATGAGTATTAAAACTACAGAGAGATACCACTTCACACTGACCAGAATGGCCATCATAAACAAATCAACAAACAATAAGTGCCGACGACATTAAAGAGAAAAGGGGATCCTAGTACACCATTGGTGGGAATGCAGACTGGTGCAGCCACTGTGGAAAACAGTATGGAGTTTCCTCAAAAAAACTAAAAATGGAACTGCCTTTTGACCGGGCAATTCCACTGCTGGAATTATGCCCTAAGAATATCAAAACACCAATTTGAAAGAACTTATGCACCCCAATGTTCATAGCAGCACAATTTACAATAGCCAAGTGCTGGAAGCAACCTACGGGCCCATCAATAAATGAGTGGATCAAAAAACTACGGTGCATTTACATAATGGAATACTACGCAGCAGAAAGAAAGAGCTACTACCCTTCACGACAGCATGGATGGAACTGAAGAGCATTATGCTAAGTGAAATAAGCCAGTGGTGAAAGACAAATACCATATGATCTCACCCATAAGTGGAACCTAATCAATAAAACAAGCAAGCAAGAAAAATATAACCAGCAACACTGAAAGAAAAAACAAACTGACAGTAACGAGAAGGGAGGAGGGAGGAAGGTAATGGGGAAAAGAAGGGGAAGCATCAAGTCAACGAACATGTACAAAGGACCCATGGACAAAGCCAAAGTGGGGAAGGATTGAGGGTGGAGGGTGGGGGGTGGGAAAGTGGTGGTGGGAAAATGGAGACAAATGTAACTGAACAATAAAAAAAGAAAAAGAAAAGTGCTACTCCAGTGAACACATGAATAAGAAAGTGAAACAACCTTACTGCTGATATGGAGAAAGCTTTAGTGGTCTAGATAGAAGATCAAACCAGCTGCAACATTCCCTTTAGCCAAAGCCTAATCCCGAGCAAGACCCTGACTCTCTTCAATTCTGTAAAGACTGAGAGAGGTGAGGAAGCTGAAGGAAACAAGGCTGAAGCTAACAGAGGGTGGTCCGTGAAGTTTAAGGAAAGCAGCCACATCCATGAAATAAAAACGCCAGGTGACACAGCAACAGCTGATAGAGAGGCAGGGTGCGGCTGCACCGAGTTATCCTCCAGAAGACCTCGCTAAGATAATCAGTGGAGGGGGCTACACTAAACAACAGACTTGCTACGTAGACAAAACAGCCTCATATTGGAAAATGCCATCTAGGACTTTCACAGTGAGAGAGCAGAAGTCAGTGCCCGACTTCAAACCTCTCAAAGGACAGGCTGACTCTCTTTTTAGGGGCTAATGCGGCTGGTGAGTTTAAGTTGAAGCCAGTGCTCACTTGCCATTCTGAAAATCCCAGGGCCCTTAAGAATTATACTACATCTACTCTGTCTGCACCCTAGAAATGGAAAAACAAAGCCTGATGACAGCACGTCTGTTGACAACATGGTTTACTGAATATTTTAACATTTGAGACCTACTTCTCAGGAAAAAAGATTCCTTTCAAAATATTGCTCATTGAGAATGTACCTGGTCACCCAAGAGCTCTAATGGAAACGTACTACGGGATTAATGTTGTTTTCATGCCTGCTAACACAATATCCAACCTGCAGGTGTAATTTAGACTTCTAATTCTTACCATTTAAGAAATACATTTCATAAAGCTATAGCTGCCATGGATAGTGATTCCTCTGATGGATCTGGACAAAGTAAACTGAAAAACCTCTGAAAGGAATTCACCATTTTTGATACCTATAGGAGCATTTGTGATTCACAAGAAGAGGTCAATACAACATTAATAGGAGTTTCGAAGAAATTGACTCCAACCCTTATAGATAGCTTTAAAGTGTTCCGGATTTCAGTGGAGGAAATAACTACAGATGTAGTAGAAATAGCAAGAGAATTAGAATTAAAAGTGGAACCTGAAGATGTGACTGAACTGCTGCAATCTCATGATAAAACTTTAACAGGAAAGGAGTTGCTTCTTTATAAAAGAGCAAAAAAAAGTGATTTACTGAGATGGAATTTATTCTTAATGAAGATGCTGTGAAAACTGTTGAAAGGACAACAAAAGATTTAAAATATTGCATAAATTTAGTTGATAAAGCAGCAGCAGGGTTTGAGAGGACCAACTCTAATTCTGAGAGAAGTTTTACTGTAGACAAAGTCCATCAAACAACATTGTATTCTACAGATAAATTATTGGTGAAAGGAAGAGTCAACTGATGAAGCAAGCTTCGTGTTGTCTCATTTTAAGAAATTGAGGCACTCCAACTTTCAGCCACCCCAACCCTGATAAGTCAGCAGCTATCAACATGGAAGCCAGACCTTTCACCAGAAAAATGATTAGGACTTGCTGAAGGCTCAGATGATGATTAGTAATTTTAGTAATAAAATATTTTTTAATTAAGGTATGTACATTTTTTTTAGACATGCTATTGCACACTTAAAAAACTACAGTATAGTATAAACATAACTTTTATATGCACTGGGAAACAAAAAAAATTCATGTGTGTTGCCTTATTGCAATATTCACTTTATTGTAACAGTCGGTCTGGAACCAAACCTGCAATATCTCCAAGTTATGCATGTACACAGCACTACTGAAATTTCCTTTCCTTCCGTCTTGGGTTCTATAATGTGTGAGTATTAGAACTGGTACTGTGTTAAACAGAAAGAATTACAAATAGGTACCTAAATTCTCAGTATTAAAAAAAAAATGCAGCCCTGGTGAGATGGCTCAGTTTGTTGGAGCATCATCAGTACACCAAAAGGTTGCGGGGTTGATTCCCGGTCAGGGGTCAGGGTGCACACCTAGGTTGCAGGTTTGATCTCCAATTGGGACACATAAGGGAGGCAACCACTTGATGCCTATGTCTGCCTGTCTGTCTATCTCTCTCTCCCTTCCTCTCTCTCTAGAATTGATAAACATATCCTTGGGCGAGGATTTTAAAAAATGCATAAAAACCTTCAAAATACTCAGATAAATGACCAACAGCATCTATGTAAATGGAAAATCTACCACATATCTGTGTATTCCAAAGCAACAATAACCAATCTTGACTGAAACTTGAGAAAAAAATACATGTTGCTTCAAATAATAATTCCATTCCATAGAAATACTCAGGTTTTAGAAAGTATTTAAAAATTAGATCTTGTTTTTAAAATGGAAGTAGAAAATGGAAATAATAATTAGAAAAAGTAAACTAAACTTACCAAATATATTAGTGGAGTGGCCTTTCTTTGCAATAGGTCTGAGTTCATTATGTCCCCATCCATATATTCTATAATTATCCCAAGCATGTTTCATCATCTGAGGAAAGAAAAATTATAATCCATCAAGTTACATTATTCACACTGTTACCTCTGTATTTTGTATAATTTAGAGATTCTTTATCCTTATACAATCTCCTATATCTCCTATATTAAATATGTTATTCTATTAACATTTGTACCAGTGTGAAACAAACATAATGTTTAGTTTCAGGGTCTATACAGCACAAGAAAAAAATTGAGTGTAATAGACAAGTTCTTTTTATTAAAAAGGAAGGTGTCTGGCATTCTTTTAGGAACTGCCATCTTTTGGGTAGCTGCTCCTCTTGCCTCACTGTCATTATGATCGAACTGTCAATCAGGATGCCCTGGTTCCACAACCAATTAACACAGCCTCACTAGAGAACCTCTTAACCTCAAACCAAAGATCAGCAAACCCTTTCCTTAAATACTTTTAGGCTTTGCAGTCAATAACAGGTTCTGTACCAACTACTTGATTCTGCTATTGTAACACAAAAGCAGCACTAGACAATACATAATAGGCATGTCTGTTCCAATTAAACTTTATTTAAAAAAAAATAAAAGCAGAGCCCTGGCCAGATGACTGAGTTGGTTGGATTGTCTTCCTGTACACCAAAAGGTTGCGGGTTTGATCCCCAGTCAGGGTACCCTAGGCTGCAGGTTCGATCCCCAGCCAGGGCACATAAGAGAGTTAACTGATCAATGTTTCTCTCCCAGATCAATGTTTCTTTCTCTCTCTCTCTCTCCCACCCTTCCTCTCTCTCTAAAAAGTCAATAAACATATCCTCAGGTGAGGATTAAAAAAATAGTAATAATTTTTTTAAAAAGGCAGAATTTGGCCTACAGGTTGTACTTTGTCAACCTCTGACCTAGACAATGTGACTGTATACATGTGATTCAAGTAGGGACAATCAAGTCCTTTTATGCATATTATTATAGACAGTAGGAGACAAGGGGACTCTTTCATTTTGCAACCTTAAGGTCTGCGTAATATATAATCTTGGAGTTGATGGGGGCTAACTCTCTCCCAATATGAAGAAACTAAGTAACAAAAGAAAGAGAAAGAGCCGGATACATTTTATTGACAATACCACCTATAAACTTGGATTCAGCCAAGTGTGAATGCATCAGAGCCATTACACTAATAAATACTTTTATATCAATTGGTTTGTACTGAGTTTCTTATAACCCAAAGAGTCTAAGCAACACAACTGCAAAGTATTTAATTATATATCAGTTGATTTAATCGTAGACTGTAGTGTATCAAAAATCTTTTCATTTAACAGTACACTATTCATTAAAACACTTTTCAACTTGTTTTTTTGCAGCCAGTCTTACTCAGATACCAAAATGAGGCAAACACATTACAAGGAAACTAAAAACTAATATAAAACACAAATGCAAAACTGCTGAAGAAAAATCAGCAAAGTATAAGATGGACACACTGACCAAATGCAATTTAACCCAGGAATGTAAGGCTAATACAATATTCAAAAAACCAATCAATATAATTCATCATGGTAACAGAATAAAAGGAAAAACACCATCCAGTAATCTTTGCAGATGTAGATAAAGCATTTGACAAAATTCAACACCCACTCATGGTAAAAACTGTCAGTAAACTACAAGTTAACATACTCAACCTAATAAAAGGTATCTTCAAAAAACCTACTTCTAACAACACATGGTATAAGACTAAATGCTTAACCCCTAAAACTGAGAACAAATTAAGTATGTCCATTCTTACCACTTCTTTCCAACAGTAATACTAGAAGTCCTAGAGAGTGCAATAAAAAAAAAGAATTAAAGACATAAAAATCAAAAAGGAAAAAGGTAAAAGATTCTACTCACAAAGGGCATGACTCTGTACAAGAAAAATTCTAAGCAATCTAAGAAAAAAAGCCACTGGAACTAACAAATGACTTCAGTAAAATAATAGGATACAAGCTTAATAAACTAAAATTAAGTATCTTTACATACGCTAGTAATAAACAACAGAAATTGAAATATTAAAACAATCCATTTATAATAGTATCAAGAAACACGACATACTTAGGAAAAATATAACAGAATATATGCAAGAACTATATACCAGGAACTACAAAACACCACTGAGAGAGTTTAAAGAAAACCTTAAAAAGTGGAAAGATGTAACATGCTCATTGAATGGAAGACTATTGTTAAGATGATAAGTTTCCCAAATTCATCTACAGATTCAATAAAATCTCCATCAAAATTCAGCAACCTTTTACTTTTGTAGAAAAGTTAATTCTAGAAAGGCACAGGACCTAGAAAGGCCAAAACAATTTACACAAAGAACAAAATTGGAGGGCTTATCTGATTTAAAAACTTACTATGAGTTAAAGGAATCAACACAGTATCGTACTGGCATTAAGGATATGCATGGAGATTAATGCAATAGATATGAGTCCAGAAAGAGACTCAACACCTATTGATTTTGTCAATTGACTTTGAACAAAAACTGCCAAGATAATTCAATCAGGAGGAGACAATTCTTTCAACAACTGAACAACTAGAAAGGCCTATGTAAAAAATAAATAAAGCAAGACCTTTACTTCTCACAAATAAAAAAACTGATTCCCAATCGATCACAGACTGAAATGTCAAAACTAAAACTAAAACAGTGCCCAAAGACTGGAACACAAATGTTCATGGCAACTTTATTCATAATAGCCAAAAACAGGGACAAATGTTCAGCAAATGTTCAACAGGTAAATGAAAACAGAACAAATCATGGTATAGCCATAAAATGGAACACTACTAAGAAAAAAGTTAACTTTACGTACATCTACACAGATAAATCTCAAAAACATTATGTTAAGCAAAAGTCCAGCAACAAAATATCACATACTTTATTATTTTATTCCATTTGACTGAAACTCTAGAAAAGACAAATCTGATGTAGAAATAACTAAAAGCAGATCAGTGGTTGCCTGGGCCCAAGGAATCAGATGGACCAACCAGAGAGGGGCACAAGAAAACCATTCTGAGATTATGGACACAGTCAAATCTTGATTGTAATTGTGTTACACAGATGTCAAAACCCATCAAGCTGTACTCTTAACCCAGGTACGTTTTGTTGTACATAAATTGTTTCAATAAAGTTAATTTTTTAAAAAAATCTAATAACCTTCCATATCTTCCCCACTCATAATTTCCACTCTCCTGGGCAATTCAATTCACCTGTTTGGGGTTTTTTTTCCTATTTATCAGTGTATTTCTAAATATAGGTTATAGTGCTATTTCTTGTTTTTAAGTTTTAGATATTTCCTAAGTCCTCTTATAGTTAAAGATAACTCAGCTCTCTAATACCTCAATCAACTCTTCTTCGCATATACTTCCCATATATATTTATTTCCCTGACTCACACACTCCCAATATAGTTAACATGTTTTTCTTATAATTATTATATTACTTTATTCAACCTTTGTTTTCCCTGCTATTATCTACTGGTCTGAGGGTTTAGTGGGGGTTTTTGTCTGTTTCCTTAGTTTGTAATGTAACAATTATGAATTTACTTCCAAATCAGATAAACCATCACTTCTACTTTACTCTGTGATATATCCTTCCTGAAGCTCTCTATCCTACTCTCCTCTGAGACTTCTGTTCTCTCCACAAGAAGCACAGTCATCGACTGCTGATTCCCTCAGTCCCACTCCTAGGAATGCCCTTCTTTATTCTCTATAGTGACAGATACCCTGTTTCCAAAATCCCTTCTCTTCCTATTTTTGTGCTAAAGCATATTTTACAGTAGCAATCTGAGAAAATGCCTAAAAATATCTTTACCATCAGATCTGATTCAAAATTTGATCAGACATATAATTCTCTCTAGTTTCCAATACTATTGCTGAAGAACCTTGATATGCCACTATGTACAATCCCAGTCTTTTGAGTGGAACCTTTTTTCTTTTTTCCCGTAAATTTTTAGGATCTTTTTTTAATGCTACTTTTCTAAAATTTTTTTGTTTTTTGTTTGCTTGGGTTTTTGGGGGTTTTTTTTTCCCCCTCATTGTGATGGATGCCTGACAGGTCCTTTCAATCTGGCAACTCACTCACTTTAGATCGGCTAATTTTCTTGAATTTCTTTGACTTCCTCCCCTCCATTATCCATTCTCTTCCTACCATACCAATCTAATCACTTGTCAGATGTTCTATATTGACCTTATAATTTTTTTTATTTTCTCCATTTCTTTTGGCCTGAGAGATTTGCTCAATTTTATCTCCTAACTTTTCTACTAAATTTTTAAATTCTATATTTTTAATTTCTAAAAGCTCTTTGTTATTTTATAAATGTTCCTTTTTATAACTTACTGTTCTCATTTCATGAATTCATTTCTTTTTGGTCACTCCAATGATGTTAATTTTTTAATGTATTTTTTTCTGCTCCCCATATTGTTTCTGTATCCTCTGATTCCTTTAGTCCATCTGTTTCGTTCTCTCATGTGAGAAGCTTTCCTTAAATGTCCTGTGACATTTGGTTTGCTCTCCCCATAGGAGTGAGGCACTTACAAGACAAAGGCTGTCAGTGAATGAGCAAACTATTACAGTTGACTGAGTCTCATCTTAGAGAGATCAGGTGAAACCCAAGGGTGTATGAGGAACAGTATAGGTCTTTTCTCTTGGACCAGTCTCCCCAGAGAGAAGTCCTCCATTCTCCACCATGTTGAATATAAATTTGGCTTTCAGAATTCTGAGAAGTGAGCAGGAGAAAGTGATCTCAATATTCAGAATGCAGTTTTAGTTACCTAATTCCCTCTACTCCCACCACTCTCTTCATATTTTAGAATGATCTCTGTGCTTTTCACTCAGCCATACCTGGTACTCCCAAAATCCAGATATTCTCTAATTCATCCTTCCAAAAGGTTAATTTTGTCTTCTGCTGGGAAAGGGAGAGCAGTGGCTAGGATACACAGGCTACCCTAGAGATCTAGGGTTTAAGAGCTCCTTTTAAAATGTTCCAATAATCCTTTTTCCAGCTCTATTTTTAACTCCTGTCTTTAGGGGTAAATGGTGTCTAATTCTTGAAATGGTCTCTAATTCTTGACACTTCCAGGTATTCTGCAGTTCACCTCACCTTGTCTCTTGTTAGCTCATTCTCCTGAAAACTTAGGTTTCAACTTTCTCTGCTTGCTAAGTCAATACCATAAAGTTTAACAGGAACCTACACAGGGGTTGTTACGCTTTCTGTTGGTTTACAAGAACACTGGGTAATACGGTGTGCTCTGAGGATTAATTCAGCAGGTCTAGGATGTCCAAACCCAAACCCAGCAGATCCCAAAGAAAGATTTGGCCTGTACTGGGCTCCTGGAAAATAACCTCTAACCCTTTATTATCCTGCCTGTTACCTGTATCTTTGTTTCCCTGAAGCCTTGGTCTGTGTCAATTTAGACTAACAATGTGATTTATGGTAGGGGCCTTGGCCCACATGGTATCAGCCTGAACTCTGGAGGAGTTGCAGAACTGAGCTCAGCCAAGCATATATGATAGATACATAAGAAGTCTCCAATAAAAACCCTGAACACCAAGGCTCAGGGATCTTGCCTGGTTGACAACACTTCACACACACTGCCACACATCACTGCTGGGAGAACCAGACACTGTCCAAATCACTGCACTGGGAGAGGACAACTAAAGCCCTGCACCTGGACTCTCTCCTATGCGCCTTTTTTATTACTAATTTTAATTTTGCTGTAATAAACCGAAACCACGAATACAACAGCTTTGCTGAGTCCTTCCTGTGAGTGCTTTTAGCAAATCATTGAGCCTTTGGGCGGTCTTGGAGTCCCCTAAGCACACAGTTATCCACCTAAATTATTATGTACATGAGAAAGTACTGCAATAAATTCTAATGATATCTAAAAAAATAAGGCCAGGCATCTGGGGAAAAAAAAAGACTATCCATGTCTCCCCAACACTGTCCAAAGAAAGTGCCTTAAGCAGTCTGTGCATAAAACAAGATGCCAGGGTGAGGTAAAATCAGAGTACAGTTCTATTTTGATTCCATCAAGGTCAGGGTCCTCTAATAATTCATAAGGCCAAGCTTCAAGTACCTACTAAATCTTTCATATTCATCACTAGAATATATTCATATAGATATTTGACTATTTGAACTAAACTTAGTATCTTATTTTATGACAGACAATACCTTTATTGATGCTATTAAACCCAGAAAGAATCTTTTTCTACAGAGGTAGTACAACTGTAAACTATACCTGGAATTAGCTGAAGTTCTAATTAACAAAATTCAACTGAAATAGTCACTAGATTCCCATTCCACCTCCGCCCCAGTAGTCTCTTTATCTCCAAGTCATTCCTAAAATAAAAAATTGAAAGTCTTCTTTGACTAAACAAATATAAAGAATTCTGAGATCAATCCCTTCCATTTCTCCAATCCGTTGAAACTCTTTGGAAGAAATATATGTTCTTAATCTGCTGTATGGTTATGGAGTTTCATGACATGTTCCTTAAAAGATGGCAAATATAATGCTAACTCTTCAGAAGCATGTTTATGAGGAGATATGCATAGCATCTAGCAGAGTCTCTTAAAACTTCTTAACACTTAAGAAACTTCTTATTCAATGATAAATTATTTACAAATCTATTCTACATTATTTATAAAATGCTGAATATCAAAAGATCTCTGAATGCAGACAGGGTGAGTGATGTAACCATCCAAACACTGTATCAAAATTTTAAGTGTTCAATAATTATAATCCATGTTAAAAAAGAGGGAGTTCTAGCCCTTACTGCCAACTTAAAAACTGAACTAGAACTATGACCCAAAAACAAACAAGGCTAAAGTATGACAACATAAATGGTGTGTGTGTCTGTATCTCCAGTATCTATCCATAACCACTCTGTATCATAAATATCAGCTTATTGTTACCTCTTTAATCTTTTCCCTTTTCTTTCTTATGTCATTATCTTCAGGGTCTCCACCACTTATTCCTAAAAGGTTTGGTATTGGGACTGGTGGCAGTGGCTTTTTCTCTTTTGTCTTCATTTCTTGGACTACCTTATTTTTCTCTGTCTGAATTTCTGCTCGGATTTCCTCTCTTGACTTTTTTAATTTTTCTTTTGCTTCTTCCAAGGCCTTCTCGTGATCAGCTCGAATTTTATTCCTCAAATGTTCTTCTTCTTCCCTGTAAGAAAAGGAGGGAAAAAAACACTGGTTAGAATGACCCTTAAGAACTTCAAGCTTTAAATATAAATCTTAAGGTTTCCTCCACCAAACCCTGATAGCTGTTTCCTATTCCTGTCATTAAAGGTAGGAATGATCTATGAGAGGCTCAGATTTATCTGCCCAAAGAACAGGATAAATATAACTTGGAATGAGCCCTGGATGACGAAGAGCTAACATGCTAACACTTTACACAATGCAGGAAGAGATAGCCTAGCAAAAAAGTTAAAATTTCAGGGCCAATGAGAACAGAGAAAACAGCAATCCCTAACTTATCAGTAGACACGTGGTAAGAAAAAAAGGAGGCAGGGGAGGAGGGAGAAAGGAAAGAAGGGAGTCACACCCATGAAAAACTAGGTGGGAGAGAGAAAATCAAAAATAGAATTAAGAACTAAGTATCAAGATGGACAAAAATATAAACAGTGTCAAGGAAAGAGAAAAGCGAAAAATAAGAGGACGGGAAATGTTTCATTTATTATATAGTACATCATACACTTCCAAAACTTTTGCATTTTGGAAATACCAGAGAGCTTGTAACACAATGGTTCCCAAATAATGCGGGTATGACTTCTTAAAATTTTATTGAGCCCTTGTTAAAAATACAGATTCCAATTCAGCAGGTTTGTGTGATGCCCATGAATCTCCATTATTAAGAGCTCCCCTGATGAGTCCGGTGTACTCAAACGTTTGAAAACCATTACCACAGTGAACACTGGGTTTTCTACCCAGACCTGCTTTGTAAGAGTTCAATCTTCTCTCAGCCTCCACCCCAAATCACGTGAATGAATACAGGAGTGGTAGGTGCTATTTTCTAAATCAGCCAATGATGGCTACCCCAAGGGTAAACATCTAACCCAATAGTCACCAGAGTCACCTTGCAAACCCCTTTGGTCCTTCAAAAGCATAGACAAGTAACAACAAAACTAATCATTGTTGTGGCTTTGATGTATGAGGCACTGGCTTAGTGAATTACATTGATTATCTTATTAAATTATCACAATTTATGAAGTACCTTCTATTAAATATTGTTATCACCTTATGAAACAGTAAAGCACAAAGAGAAAAATTATGTAATTTGTTTAGGGTTACAGAGCTAGTAAGTAGAGAACCTGGTTACAAACACATGCATTTTGACTTCATGAACACTATGCCTTTCACGTAAGGGATACATTTTATTTAAGAGTTTTTCTTTTACTGTACAGACACTAACATCTGTCTCTCAATATCTTTTCTCCCTTCTTAGTACTAAAGGCCTCAATTTTTAGATAAGCACATGATCCTGCTAAATAAAAAGTCTATTTCTTAGCCTGCCTTATTGAAACTGCTCCCACGGAATTGATGTGATCAGAAATGAACTATCTTGCTTAAGCCACTGCTATTTTGTGATTTTTATAGCTGGTAAATAACCTAGTCATAACTGAGCCACATTCCATCTTAGATGTTCTCTTTCCCTGGGGCTCTCATTAGCATCTGAGGGTTGATTTGCCAGAAATACATTAGCCAAGTGATAGATTTCCTTCTCCAATTAGTGTATTTAAATGAATCATATTTGGAAACATTGTAAAGGACAAATACAATCCTCAATTACATAAGGATACATAAAATTACACTGTATCTTGTTTGGCAAAGATTTAGGCAAAGATACAAATATTTCCCCTTTATATTCACTCCTTGTCTAGTAGACTTTTACTCTTCACCCACAAAGTTTCATCCTAAATAAATAAATAAATAAATAAATAAATAAATAAATAAAAACTTCCTTCAGAATTGCCTCCTCTGCCTTCATTGGTGTTCCCGTCCTCCCCTGAATACTACACCTGCGTTTCCACTTTCCTCAACCTCCCATCAGTCTTATATCCACCACAGATAAAAATCGGTAACCAAGTTTATCCTTCCTTTGAAAGGCCCTCTTTCTTAGGCCTGCCTTTACAAGTTGCTGATCACTGGCTCTATCATCAATGCACCCCAAAAATATTGTATTCCATCCTCACTTCTGTTCTTATTTAATATACTCTTCCTATTCAACATCATCCAACTCTATTTTCTCAACTGTTGCAACAAAACACATATGGTCAGCCTTTACCAAGTTACTAAGTACTCTGGATCCAAATTTATAGTACTGATCATTTGTTTCTGTGGCTGCCCAGGTTCATTTGGCTTCTCCCAAGATGCTATCTCTGAGCTTGAACATTTGTGTCCCTAAAAATTTATATGTTGAAACTTTAATCCCAAACATGGTGGTATTTGGAAATGAGGCTTTTGGAAAGTAATCGGTGTTAGATTAGGTCATAAGGGTGAGCCCTCGTGATGGAATTGGTGGTTTTATAGACCCACCAACCCACTAACACAACGGAAAAATAAGAGTCTCACCTACATGCTTAAAACTCCCAAGTTATTCTGATTATGGCAAAATGAGAACAAGATGCAACATAGGAAGGCAGTCAACCAGCCTATAATTACTATTTACTATTACTCGATCATATAGAAGGTACTTTCAGAAATCTAGAAAGAGACCTAGGACTTCCCAAGGCACTAACCTATACAGACTGCTTTCCTGTAAGGCTATTCATATGCCTGAGCTGAGAACTGCTAAGAAGTCAAATAGAGCCTGGGCCAGTGTGGGGTCAGCTCGTTGGAGCAACCTTCCATAAACCAAAAGGTGGCCGGTTCGAGTCAGGATCAGGGCATGTGCCTGGGGTGTGGGTTTGGTTCCAGCCGGGGCATGTGTAAGAAGCAATGTATCGATGTTTCTCTCCCTCTCCCTTTCCTTCCCTTCCTCTCTCTAAAATCAATAAGCATGTCCTCGGGTGAGGATTAAAAAATAAATAAATAAAAGTTAAACTATTAAAAAGAAAAGAAGGCAGAGAGAAAGAAATTTATATAAGAGAAATATATCTCTATATATAACTCTCCCCCTACCTCCACCACCTCCTCCTGACCCGCCCCAAGCACAAATGAAAGGCCATGTAAGGATGCAGCAGGAAGGCAGCTACCTGAAAGCCAGGACAAGCCAGGGAGAGAGCCTTCACCAGAACTGACCCTGCAAGACCTTGATCTTGGACTTTCCAGCCTCTAAAACTGTGAGATTTAAGCCATCAGCAGTCTATGGCATTTTGTTATGGCAGTCCAAGCATGATCCATTTTGAGTTAATTTTTATATATGGTGCTGGAGGCAGATTTTAAATGGGAGCAGAGGGCTTGAAAAGCAATCAAGTCTCTTCAACTATGGAAAGGGACCAGAAGCAAAACAAGAAAGTAAGAAGAAATGCTCAAGCTATACAGTGCAAACAGTGAAAGGAGGAGGCCAGTAATAATTTCTAGCCCTTCATTTAAATGATCCATATAACCTAGTGTTTCTAGGTAAACACTAGAGACACTAGGTTTCTAGGTATGGTAAAAGGCACTATGGGCATTTTAGGCAAAATAATTCAATTCTTTGTTGCGCAGAACACCAGGGCACTGTGGTGGAGTGGTTAGAATTCCTGACCCTCATCTACTAAAATGCCAATAGTGTCACTCTTCTCTTCATTGTAACAAACAAAAAAGGCCCCCATGATTCCAAGACCTCTCTCCAAGGAGAATACTACTGGTCCATGTTAAACCACTGCACAAAAAGTGCTAGTAGGGTAGAGTCTACGGAGACTATTTATATCTACATTTCTAATAAGTAGCACAGCACAAGTAAGAACTTCATCCCTAACTATAAGTCACTGTAATAAACCTTAGGGTTCTTCTCAGTTTATATTTCTTAAGATGTTAATAAGTAATCCTCTATCTAAATTCAGAAATTCACCAGTATCTTGGTAACAGAATCCCTTCTCTTTCTACAGAAGCCAAATGGTTCTAGGTACTATATCTTTCTATGGTCTAACAGCAAGGCAAGGCCCTCTGACCTACCCTTAGGCAATCAGATGCTCTGCCTGAAACTACAGATCTGGAATAAGTGGCATAAGCAAACAAAAACTCAATTTCAGAAATCACTGAGAAAGCAGAGGAATACAGCATCTGGAGGTAGCAAAGTCATAACCCAGCACTCGGTGACCAGCAGCACAAGCCATGGTACATTACTGTTCCTTAACCCTCAGTATGGTTCTGCATACCTGCCTTTCTTAAATGCCTATCTTCTAAACGTAGTTCTACAGACCTAATGTCAATTTTGAAAGCCAATCAACATCCTTCCAAAAAATACCTATTTTCCATGCATTATAGTTGGTTTCTAATACTTGTATCCAAGACTCCTCTCCAAGTCTTTTTAGTACAAATGGAAGAGGTATTGTAGGACTATGACCTAAGCACTTGCCTTGACTCACTGCCTCTCAATTCTTGCTAAGGCAGTTCAACTAATGTAGAATGGAAAATTCCAACCCACTAACACAACGGAAAAATAAGAGTCTCACCTACATGCTTAAAACTCCCAAGTTATTCTGATTATGGCAAAATGAGAACAAGATGCAACATAGGAAGGCAGTCAACCAGCCTATAATTACTATTTACTATTACTCGATCATATAGAAGGTACTTTCAGAAATCTAGAAAGAGACCTAGGACTTCCCAAGGCACTAACCTATACAGACTGCTTTCCTGTAAGGCTATTCATATGCCTGAGCTGAGAACTGCTAAGAAGGCGTGTCTCAGTCACTTCTTGGAAGAAATCCTCCTGATCATCTACCCTGTTCAAAGCCTTCACCTACAGGAGACTGAAAAGCTCTCCAGCAAAAAGGCCCATCTCAACAGACATCCATTTTGCCAGCGGTGAGCTGTGAGCTATTCAACTACAATTCCACAAAGAGGCCCCTCATGAACTGCTCCATTGACTGCTCATCTAGACCTAATTAAAGTCCATACACTAAAAACAAGAAAGCCATACAGTACCAGTAAGTAAACCAAAATTCTCAACTCCAAATCCACTCTTCTATACTCTACTTCATGAGGCTGGGGCTTAGACTCTCCAAATTACCTCCA